AGAATTGTGCAGATATCAGTGTCTGTGGTACGCGTGCAGAATAGTGCAGTCATCAGTGTCTGTGGTACGCGTGCAGAATTGTGCAGTCATCACAGTGTCTGTGGTATGCGTGCAAAATTGTGCAGTCATCACAGTGTCTGTGGTACGCGTGCAGAATTGTGTAGTCATCACAGTGTCTGTGGTACGCGTTCAGAATTGTGCAGTCATCAGTGTCTGTGGTACGCGTGCAGAATTGTGCAGTCATCAGTGTCTGTGGTACGCGTGCAGAATTGTGCAGTCATCAGTGTCTGTGGTATGCGTGCAGAATTGTGCAGTCATCACAGTGTCTGTGGTATTTCACTCTTCTGTTTCCTGAAGCAGTGCTAGGCAACAGACCAATGTTGTGAGACACAGTTATAATTGTATTTATTTTGGCAGAAAATTAACGTTTATTGTACATTTTTTTTATTTTTTTTATCCTCACCCAAGGATATTTTTCCATTTTTTGTACAGATAGAGTGGGAGGGAGAGAGAGGAAGGGAGAGAGAGAGAGAAACATCGACGTGAAAGGGACACATCGAGTGGCTGCCACCCGCACGACCAACCAGGGCCGGGGACAAACTGCAACCGAGGTACATGCCCTTAGCGGGAACCGAACCCAGGTCTCTCAGGACCGCAGGCCGACGCTCTAACCGCTGAGCCAAACTGGCCAGGACTATTGTACATTTTTATATAACCAATAACATACATATGTTATCTAACTTTTTTATTTTATTTTTTAAATCCTCACCTGAGGATATGTTTTGATTAATTTTAGAGAGAGACATACATTGAACAGTTACCTCCCCTATGCGCCCAGACTGGGAATCAAACCTGTAACCTAGGTTTGTGCCCTGACCCAAAATCGAACCTGCAACTTTTTGGTGTGTGGGATCAGATGCTGCAACCAACTGGTCCACCTGGCCAGAGCCATATGTTATCTCTTGTCATCCTTAGCGTGACCCCAGTATGTGTGAATCATGATCCTCAATTTACAGGTGAGGAACTGAGCTTCCGAGGGATGAAACAACTTGCCTGTGGTTACATGATGATGGAGCTGGAATCAATGAGTTCATTTATTTATCTTTACTTTAAAAAAAAAATTTTTTTTAATTCTCACTGGAGGATATTTTTTCCTTTTATCTTCAGAGTGGGAGAGAGGGAGACAGAGAGAGAGAGAAACATCGATGTGAGAGAGACAAGAGACACGTTGATTGGTTGCTTCCCACACGACCCTGACCAGGGCCAGGGACCAAACTGCAACCGAGGTACGTGCTCTAAGCCAGAATCGAACCCGCGACTGGTCTGTGGGCCGACGCTCTAACCACTGAGGAAAACAGGCCAGGGCATATCTTTACTTTTTTATTGAGTTTATCGGGGTGACATTGGATAGTAAAATTATATAGGTTTCAGGTGTATAATGCTATAATATATCTTCTGTATATTGTATTGTGTGTTCACCACCCCAGATCATTTATTATAATTTAAAATTTTCTGCTAGCCAAATTAAAAGAGGTAAAAAGAAATAGGTGATATTAGTTTAAATGCTATATTTACTTAACCTAATAAAGCTAAACTGTATTTCACCATTCAATTAATACGAATAGTTATAAAATGTTTTACCTTCTTTTTGTACTAAAGTCTTTGCAATCTGGGTGTATTTGGTACTTTCATGCACATCTCGGTTGAGATTAGCTGCATTTCCACGCTCAGAGCCGCGCATGCCGACGGCTCCCATGCCGGCAGCGTAGATCTGTCATCGCCACATGTTTGTTTGCTGGAGCTTGTGAATTTGTGTATTTCTCTTATAATTTTGTCATTTTCTAGAGGAAACGTCCTTTTTATCATTGTCATGACTGTTTCCTAATGATGACTTTTATCTTAAATTCTATTTTACTTGATATGCCATCTTTTTCTGTACTTAGTATTATCGTGGTCTATCTTTATCTGTCCCTTTATTTTTTACCTTTATTTTTGTCTTAGTGTGTTGTTAAGTTTTAATCTTGTGTCCTGTACATAGCGCATGCTTGGAATTTTTTCTTTATCTAATATGATACACTCTTTTTTTGGAAAACTGGTGAATTTAATCATTGTGTATTTGTACTAATTTCTGTTGTTTACTTTTTATTAGTTTTTTTCTTCTATGTAAATTTGGGTTACTCAACTTTTATTTATTCTTTTTCTTTCTCTCTCTCCCTCTTTCTCTCCCTACCTCCCCCTCCCCCTTCTCTCTCATCTCTTCTCCTCCTTGTTTGAAAGCTTACATTATATAGTTCTTCTTCTAGTGGTCACTGTTATTTTTTTTAAAGCATTTATTAATGCATGATTAACATAATAAACCTTACATATTTGAATTACACAATTTGGCAGATTCTGACATGTGTATGTCTGTGGAGCCACCACCACGATCAAGACCATGAATGTTGATAGCTCAGTTCCCTCCTGCTCCCTGGTGACCCCTCCCTCCAGCTCCTTCCAGCTCGGCCGTCATGTCCCTCTCCCCCAGCCCTCGGTAACCACAGATCTGCTTTGTGTCACTCCAGATTTTCTACGATTTTATACACATGGAACCATAAACTATGTAATCTTTTGTGTCTTCCTCTTTTCTCTCAGAATAATAATTGGGAGATTCATATATGTTATTGAATACATTGATTATTCGTTTTTTTTCATGGTTGAGTTATATTCCATTGTATGGAAATGCCAAGGTTTTGTTTATCCATCTACCTGTTGATGGACATTTGAGTTGCTTATAATTTTAGGCTCTTACAAATAAAGCTGACGTGGACATTTGGACATGGACTTTTGTATTCAAATTGTAGTATGGATATGTGCTTTCATTCCTGCTGGGTAAATAAAACTAGGGGTGGGATGACTGGGTTATATGGTACATGTATGTTAAACTGATAAGAAACCACCAAATTGTTTTTCAGTGGGTGGGACCATTCACAGTCTCCTGTTAGTGTACCGGGGCGCTTTCTCTCCTTGCCGCTGGGTGTAGTCAGTCTGTCTCATTTTATTGTGTTGTTTTATTTTATTTATTTTATTTTATTATTTATTTTTGTTACAGATGTTTCTCCTTTTCCCCCCACTGATTCCCCTTCCCCCTCCCTCCCTGCCCTGTCCCCAGCTTTGTTGTCCATGTCCATTGTTCATGCACACATGCATATAAGTTCTGTGGTTTATCTCTCCCCCACCACCCCCTCTTCTGGAGATTGTCAGTCTGTACCCCACTTCCACGTCTCTGGGACTACCCCATTCCCCAGACTGTTATGTTCATTATATTCCACAAATAAGTGAGATCATATGATACTTGTCTTTCTCTGTTTGGCTTGTTTCGCTTAGGATAATACTTTCCAGGTCCCTCCATGTTGTCTCAAAGGATGAGAGATCTTTCTTTCTTACAGCTGCATAGTATTCCATTGTGTATATGTACCACAGCTTTTTTATCCATTCGTCTACTGATGGACACTTGAGCTGTTTCCAGATCTTAGCTATTGTGAATAGTGCTGCTATGAACATGGGAGTACATATATTCTTCCTGATTGGTGTTTCAAGCTTCTTAGGGTATATTTCAAGTTTCTTAGGGGATCACTGGGTCAAATGGCAATTCAATTTTTAATTTTTTGAGGTGACACCATAGTGTTTTCTATAGTGGCTGCACCAGTCTGCATTCCCACCAGCAGTGTATTAGAGTCCTCTTTTCTCCACACCCTCGCCAGCACTTGTTGTTTGATGATTTGTTGATGGCGGCCATTCTGACAGGTGTGAGGTGATACCTCACTGTTGTTTTAATTTGCATCTCTCTGATGATTAGTGATGTTGAGCATTTCTCCATATGTCTCTTGGCCATTTGTATGTCCTGTTTGGAGAGGTGTCAGTTTACTTCCTCTGCCCATAGTCTGTCTCATTTTAGTCATTCTCATTGGTGTGTAGTGGTATTTGTGGTTTGAATTTTAGTTTCCTGTTGACTCATTTGTTGAGCATCTCTTCAAGTGATTATTTGCCATCCTCAGATCTTCTGTGGTGAAGTGCTTATTCAAATATTTTGCTCACTTTTTCTATTGGATTGTGTGGTTTCCTATTATTGAGTTTTGAGCTTTTTTATTATTCTGTATACAAATCCCTTATTTATGTGTGGTTTGCCTATATTTGATCTCAGTCTGTGACTTGTCTTTTATCTTTTAACTGTCATTTGAGGACAGAAGTCCTTAACATTGTAGTCGAATTTGTCAAAATTTTCTTTTGTGGATGTTGCTTTTGGCATTTGGTTCTAGCACCGTGGACTCCCTTTTTATTCTTACAAGCACAGTCATTCATAGTGAACATCTTCTGCATGTGCCCACCCAGTGTGCTCAGTGATTGAGCACTGACCCTGCACCAAGAGGGTGCTGGTTGAATTCCTGGTCAGGGCACCTGCCCATGTCGGGGCTCAGTTCCCAGTGAGGGGCATGCAGGAGGCAGCCGGTCGATGTTTCTCTCTCATCAAGGTTTCTCTCTGTCCCCCTTTTCCTTTCTCTAAAATTCAATAAATCATATTAAAAAGAAAATGTTTGTATGTTATCTGGCATTTCTGAATATTTGTAGTAGAGGTGTTCTGTATTTGCCAGAATTGAAAGTGCAGTGCCTAATACGTGTATATTTGAAAACTTCTTTTGTTTATAACTTAACAGGAATTTCAACTCTGCCATTCTTCTTGATCCTCATTGTAACTATAGTTTACCATTTGTATTTTTTCAAACAAATATATGTTATTTATAATGTTTCTGCCAGTAAATTAAAGATAATGTAGGTGAATGAATAAAACTTGAAAGGATAATTTAATGGGGGTAATTAATCACTAATGTAGTTTAATGCCATTAGAATTTAAGTAAATTGATTTTCAGCAGCTATCCAGAAACTTAAAAGATATTTGCTATTATAATGGCCATTTCCTGTTCCCATGTTTAAGATTTGATTCCTTTTTTCCCTTTTATTTTTAGATCACAAAATTTTTCCAGGATAGACATAGAGCTAGAAGAAACAGACTTCATAAAGATCAACTTAAGAAACTCCCTATACATAAGTTCAAAAAAGGTGAGTGAATATCTTTATGTTCTAATAATTACCCTTATTTTATTTAAGAATTTGTAGTGACCCCCAGCGTGGATGCCCTGGGAGCTCACTCTTCCCAGGCTCTGTGCAGGTGGGTCGGGGAGCACAGGGCTCTGCCCGATGCTGTACAGTCCCTCCCACGTGGTTGGAGAGAGAGGCGGGCCTGGGGTCTGCGCCTGCGTGTTCCTACAGCTTCTCAGAGTCCTGTGGACAAGGACTGAGGAGAAAACCATGCAGGAAACGTCTAGGGAAAAAAAAAAAAAGAATTTGTGGTGACCACACTCTTAGTACTACCTTTTGAGTCTGTGCCACATACTGTGCCTCACATTCAGCTGGTAAAGAATGAGTGGATGAGGGAAATGTCCTGTGCTGTACCCCAGTGAAGGCAAGTAGGGTACGTTGTCTGCAGAGAATTTAAAAACAGCAGTGACACTGGCCAGATGCTTTTATTATCACCACGTGCCAGCAGTTGTAAACATCGGTGGATCAGATCCTCCTCTGCTCCCACCGGCCTCCCTCTCGCACCGCACCCCGCTGCGTTAACACTGCGTTAGCGGACACGTGGGCAGCTGCCGTGTGCCGTTCCGTTTTACATGTATTCTCTCATGACGTTTCCACGTTTCCGGGAAGTGGATACGATAATGGGCATTAGAGGTGAAGAACGAGAGGGTCAGAGAGGGAAAAACTAATGTCACAGCCGGTACCGACAGAGCTGGAGGGTGTGGTCGATATTACAACCAGTGGAGCTTCTCCTACCATTAGAGGTTATTGATTATCTTGAGCAGTTTTGACATAGTAGTCAGGCCTAAAACTTGATTTTGGTGGGTTTAAGAGTAAGTGGAAGGAGAGAGATTGGAGACAGTAACTACAGACAACTTTTTCAAGAAAATTAACTGCAAAGGGGAGCCAAGAAATGGGGTAGTAGCTGGTGGGGGAGTTGGGTCAAGAGATAGCAGCACGCTGCAGAGGATGCTGGTGACACAGGGGAGTGGCTGTGACAGTGCCTTGAGAGAGGAGGAGGGGTGGGGTCCGGTGCAGTCGGCGCACTGCCCAGCAGAGCACGGAGCTAAGGCCAGGTGAAAGATTGGGTGCAGAGCCCCAGTAGATGGGTATTTAGGTGGAGAGTCCGTGGAAGTGTTCTTTACTCCATCTTTCTCAGTGAGGTAGGAAACAACCATAGCCGAGGGTGAGGACAGGACGGGGGAGGCTGGGGTGTGAGAACAGAAAGTTACAATGTATCGTTCTCGGAGAGGAGGCAGGCAGATGGACTGTAACGTGGTTGCCTGGCACACTGAACCTCCCTTTCAGGGTATTGGTTATGAACCAGACAGCGTCAGTGACACTCCGTGGCCACGTTGATCTGTATGGAGTGGTGTGCCCTCAACATCCCTGTTTGCTAAAAACGTGAAGTATGACATATATTCAGAAAAGTGCATGACATGCATTTCTGGAACCATCCAGTTCAGGAAATAGAACAGGACTAGCACCCCGGAAACCACTGTGCCCCTTCTAGATCATAATCCTCTTCCTCACTGGAAGTGGTCACTGTGCTGGCTTATGGTGATCATTTCACTGCCTTTCTCTGAAGTTGACAGCCTCTGCATGCGTCCCCAGGCAGTATGCTTTCCTTTTCCTGTTTTGAATTGCATTTGTTTTATCCTGTCTCCTTTTTTAGTAACAGATTTTTTGATGAAATTAATTATAGCACGTATAATACACAGTTCACTCAATTGTATTCCATTGTATAAATATATTAATTTATCCATTTTGCTATTAATAAACATTTTTTTCTTTTGTTTTGAGTTTAGGGCTATTACAGACCACATTCTTAAGAACATTTTTACATTGTGGTTTATTTGAACGTTACTTTCGTTAGGGTGTCTACCTAGAAGTAGATTAGCTGGGTCATAGGATATGCTTATCTTCAGTTTTATTTCCAAAGTAATGGTGGTACCAGTTTATACTCCCACCAACAGTGTATAGGAGTTCCTGTTGTCCAACATATTTATACCAATATTTTATAAAGATATCTCATAGTAGTTTTTTTGTTTTTTGTTAGTCCTTATCCCAGGATATTTTTCCATCGATTTTCAGACAGAGCAGAAGGGAGGGAAGGAGAGAGAGAGAATGAGAAAGAGAGAAACATCTGTGTGAGAGAGACACATCAGTTGGTTGTCTCCCAAATGACCCTAACCAGGGCCAGCGATGAAACCTGCAACCCAGGTACGTGCCTCTGCAAGGAATCTAACCACTGAGCAAGCCCGCCTAGAGCTCTCATAGTAGTTTTAATTTACATTTCTCTCCTCCCAATGAGGTTAAGTACCTGTATTTTTATTTACCAGTTTGATTTCCACTTTCATGCCATGTTTCTGTAAGGTTATCCTCTCCCCCTCTTTTCCATATGTAGGGAGGGATTCTTTATATATTCCCACAACTCCCACCCCGGAGGTGTGGTCTATGGGGAATTGGTTCTTCACTGATTTGATGTGTTTTAACCGTCCTCTTGTTTGTGGCTTATTTTTTCACAGGACTAAATTTCATGTCTTTTATGGCAGTGTTCTTGCATGTTTTCAAAGAACTTATTTCTCACCCCAGGATCATATAACTATTACAGTGTCTTCTGAAAGCTTTATAGCTTTGCCTCTCACGTTTGGGTATGAATTCACCTGAACTGACTCTGTTCAATGGCCCATTTACGGTGTTTATAGTTTGATATTTTACATAAGGATATCCAGTTGTCTCAGCTAACTGTTAAAAAGACTGTTATGTTCTGCAGTCTCACCTCTGATACAGTCAAGTGTCCGGGTAGGTGTGCATGTGTTTCCAGACTTGCTGCTCTTACTGTGTACCCTTGTCATACTGCTCCACTTCCTGTAGGCTCAGGTGAGTCGTGGTCCCTGTGACAGCTGTGCTGCCACCTCGTCCTTCAACAGTCTTAGCTATTCTTACACTCGGTACTTCTGTGCAAAATTAAAACCAGCTTGTCCAGGCCACCCCAGCTCCAAACACATGTACACAGTTATTGTACAGTTTGTAGTACAATATGCATAACATAAAATTGACCATTTTAACCATTTTAAGTGTGCGGTTCAGTGCCATTGAGTACATTCACGTGGTTCTGCAGCCATCACCAGCATCCATCTCCAGAACTTTCTCATCTTCCCAAACTGAAACTTTACCTAGTAACCCACAGCTGCCCATCCCCCCCCCCCCCCCCCCACCAGTCCCTGCAACTACCATTCTCCCTTGTCTCTGAATTGGATGGTTCTGGGTACCCATATAAATGGGATATAAGTGACCAGCCTTTTTCACTTGGTATAATGTTCTCACGCTTCATTCACTGTTGTAGCGTGTGGTAGGATTCCCTTCCTTTTTAAGGCTGAATAATATTCAAAATACTCTCCTTATATGCCATTGTTTATCCATCATCTGGCAGTGGGCACTTGGGTTGCTTTCTCCTGTTGGCTGTGGTGAGTGAGCTGCTGTGAGCACGGCTGCACAGATGCCTGTGTGACTTCGGCTTTCACGTCCTGGGTCTGCACCCAGAGTGGAATTGCTAGATCACGGGGTACCCGGTTTAAGTTTTGAGGAACGCGCACCCTTTTCCACAGTGGCTCTGTCACTTCACGTTTCTACCAGCAGGGGGCTGGGGTCCCGTTCCTCCTCATCCTTGCCCACATTTGTCTTTTTCTGTTTTTCAAATAGTAGCCGCCCTAATGGATGGGCTGTGGTGTCTCACGTGGTTTTGGTTTGCATTTCCCTTGGGAGGAGTGATTTTGAGCAGCTTTTCGGGTGCTTATTGGTCATTTGTCCGTGTTCTATGGAGAAATGTCCGTAAAGGTCCTAGGCCTTCTTCTTTAACTTTTGGGGAAATAATTTCAAACTTTCAAAAAACAAAACAAAACTGCTTCAAAGTTAAAAACTTTTATTTTGAGAAAGACCGTTAAGAGGACAAAACCTTTGCATGAACAGTACAAAAAACACCATAACCCTTTTACCCGGATTCAACTCCTACCTTCTAGATTCATTTCCGTAGGGCTCATAACAAAGGTCACAAATGAGGTGGTTCAAACAACAGAGACTCATTTCCTCACATGCTTACAAACTAGATTTCCCAAATCAAGATGTTGGCAAGAATGTTTCCTTCCGAAGGCGCCGACGCTTCTTCCTGCCGCGTCCGTCCCGGGGGTCTCCGGGGGTTGCTGGGGGACGCCGGGGGTCGCTGGGGGTCGCCGGGGGTCGCTGGGGGTTTGCTGGGGGTCGCCGGGGGTCGCTGGGGGTTTGCTGGGGGTCGCTGGGGGTTGCCGGGGGTCGCTGGGGGTCGCCGGGGTTCGCTGGGGGTTGCCGGGGGTCGCTGGGGGTTGCTGGGGGTCGCTGAGGGTCGCTGGGGGTTGCCGGGGGTCGCTGGGGGTCGCCGGGGTTCGCTGGGGGTCGCCGGGGGTCGCCGGGGTTCGCCGGGGGTTGCCGGGGGTCGCCGGGGGTCGCCGGGGTTCGCTGGGGTTCGCCGGGGTTCGCTGGGGGTCGCCGGGGGTCGCCGGGGGTCGCTGGGGTTCGCTGGGGGTTGCCGGGGGTCGCTGGGGGTTGCCGGGGGTCGCTGAGGGTCGCTGGGGGTTGCCGGGGGTCGCTGGGGGTTGCCGGGGTTTGCTGGGGGTCGCTGGGGGTTTCTGGGGGTCGCCGGGGGTCGCTGGGGGTTTGCTGGGGGTCGCTGGGGGTCTCCGGGGGTTGCCGGGGGTCGCTGGGGGTCGCCGGGGGTCGCTGGGGTTTGCTGGGGGTTGCCGGGGGTCGCTGGGGGTTGCCAGGGGTTTGCTGGGGGTCGCCGGGGGTTGCTGGGGGTCGCCGGGGGTTGCCGGGGGTCGCTGGGGGTTGCCGGGGATCGCTGGGGGTTTCCGGGGGTCGCTGGGGGTCGCCGGGGATTCTGGGGGTCGCCGGGGGTCGCCGGGGTGTTGCTGGGTGTCGCCGGGGGTTGCCGGCAGCCCTCGCTGGGCCTGGGCTTCGGCAGCGCCAGCCGCCCGCCCCGTCCTCCCGCCCCGTCCTCCGCGTGTCCAAGTTCCCTCTCTGAGCTCCCCAACCCAGGGCCACCTCATCTTCATTGATTATGTCTGGGAAACCCATATCCAAGTGCGGTGACTCTCAGGTTCTGGGTGGACGTGAACTTGCAGAGGCCACAGCTGCATCACTTGCGCTCTCCCTCTATGCATGTGTGTGTGTATGGAACTTTCACCTGATGGATTTGGAGTAAGCTGCAA